TTGTGAATAATGTTGTTGGGGATAATGGGAGGAGTGCATAAACAAAGAGAATATGGATAAGTCATAGAAGTAAAAGGAAGAAATAAAATATATAACTCAAATGCATACATAGTCGTAGCTAATAATGAAGTATGTGATAGGGGGTCATGCTGGGGATGCCTAAAATAGAATGTGACCAGAGCAATCGTGGCCGTAGCCATGGTAAAAATAATGACATGAGTCAATGTGACCGTAGCCATAGTAAGAGATGATGACCGGAGTCATGGTGGCCGGAGCTGTAATAAAAAGTGATGACCGGAGTCATAATGGTCGGAGCCGTGATAAAATATAATGACCAGAATCATAATGGCCGGAGCCGTGATAAAATATAATGACCGAGTCATAATGGCCGGAGCCGAAGCAAAGCATGTGACACTGGGTCACTGTGGCAGTAGCTGAAGTGAAACGTGTGAAAGTGGGTCACTATGGCCGAGGCCGATGTGAAATGTGTAATGTGTAATGTAGGATTACTGTGGCCGGAGCCGAAGTGAAACACTTGCAAAAATTGAGAATGTGTAAAAGTGAGTAAGAGTGTTGAAATGGGCTTAAGTGAGCCTGTCTGAGAAGTCTGACAAAAGGTCAATACGTGGTGTGACAACTGTCCTTTGAATGACGTGTGCAATAAATGCGGTTGTAAAAAGATAACTGCAACAGTCAAATAAGTATATTTAAAAAACGAACCATCAAGTTCGAAATGGTGCCGTTTGGGGCTGACCGTCGAATTCGAAACGGTGTGACTAAGGACCGTAAGATTAAACGAATCCCAGCCGTTGAGATCTAATTTTTCCTAGAGGTATAAATAGTCATTTTTCTGTAAAAAGAAGTTTACTTTCTGCATTTTCTGCAAAATATCTATAAAAGGCTTTACTGTGTGCCTCTTGCACGTGAATTGCTGCAACATTCGGGGGTTTCTACATCAAGTTTGCAAAACCGAAATCAAGTAATGTATACGAACCTCTGATTTTGTGTTAATCGAAGTGTCACTCTCCTTTCTCCCTTTTTGTGGTTGATTTAGAGTCCTCTGAAGGAAATTCGGGTTGGGAGTGAGAATGATTTTGAGTGTGCTTTACAACTTTTTTTTTTTTTTTAAAGAGGGGTCTTGACTTCATTCCTCCCCCTACTTTGTGCAGAAAGTAAGAAAATGTCTTCGGAAGATACAATGAGTGTGGTAGGAAGTGAAGTAATGCCTCTGGAGTATGGGAGCATGGACACGGAGAGTAGTCCGTCTCCATCTAGTTCGGAGAGGACAGTGGAAGGGGTAAGAGGAGATGAGATGGTGGAGGTTGGGGGGGATAGTGTACCCATCACTATGGTAGAAGTAGAGGGTAGGGGAGAAAGGGGTTACGATGTAGGTGCAGATATAGTGGAAGAGGTGAAGCAGTACAAATCTGAGCTCGGGACTAGAGATAGCCTGGGTCATTTAGTGAAGAATTACGAGATCTCTTTCTGAGTGTTAGTTAGGCCAGCTAGGGTAGAGGAGAGGGCATGTTCTGTGCCTCGGGGTCATTAGATGCCTGTGTATGCCCACTATTTGTTAGCCGGGCTCAGGTTTCCAATCCCTGAGTTGCTAGTAGGTTTGCTGTTAGATTATAGTATAGGGTTGACACAGTTAGTCCCCAACGCTATGAGGGTAATAATAGGATTTTTAGTTTATTGCCGAGCTCAGGGGATTAATGTGCCAACTGTAAATATGTTTAAGTATTTTTTTGTTTTGAAGGGGGGTAGTAGGAAGGATAAGGGGTGGTATTATTTCACCCCTAGGGTAGCAAATAGGGAGAGTAAGGCGTTGTTTACGACAGGTCCTTCATCCATTAAAGGATGGAAGGAAATTTTCTTTTTTGTAGATGATATGGAGTGGGAGAGGGGGGATACCGAGGTAAGGGAGTTAGCATCCTGGAAGGCTAAAAGAGCCAATCAGAATAAGTTTAGCTTAAACGAGGATGAGGAGGAGGAAGTGGGGAAGTTGGTGAGGAAGGGGGGGATTTATTAAACATCATGGACCTCACCAACGCAGAAAGCATAGAAGCTGTTGAGCTCTATGGGCCAAGCGCTTTAAGTGAAGGTTTGTTTAGATTTACATTGTAGTGTTTTAATGTAGAGTGTAGAGCTGTGTAATTGATATTGTGTTTTCTTATTTTGCAGTTGAAATGTACAAATTTTTGAACACTGCTGGAGGAGTGGCCATCCCCAAGAAGCCAAGGAAGAAGTCAAAGACTTCAACCAAGCAAGTGGATGAGGGGAGAGCTGGGAAGGAGGTAGTGCCCACTACTTCAGCTGAGGCGGAGGAGGAGGTGCCACAGTTGAAGAGGAAGGGTTGGGAGGAGAGAAGGGCACTATAGAAGAAGAAGAAGGTGGTGGAGGAGGAGGAGAGGGGGAGCGAGGTTCCCCAGTTCGTACCTCAACCTCCTCCTGTTGAGCTTGACCTTGAGCTCAAATAGTTGGAGGAGGGGGCTGAAGTACGAGCTCCCGGTAAGGGAAAGGGCCCTGTTCCCCCGTTGGCATTTCAGAGCAGCCTGTTCAAGGTGAAGAACATGACGGGGGCTAGGAGGTTCATCAACACCACCTTCCCCGAAATGGACAAAAGCAACGCACGGGACGAGGCTCTGAGGTATTGTGGGGCTTCAGTAGTGAAGCATGTTTTGGAGGTATGTTAGGTTAATTTAGTTGTATTTACTGTTGTAGTTGTTGTTTTTTTTTTTTTTTTAACCTCTGCGTGGATTGTAGAGCACGAGCTGGGTGAATGGTCTAGCCCAGGAGTTCATGGAGAGTGTGAAGGAGCGCTCCCTTTTGCAGAGGCAGTGTGACCAGCTGCAAAAAGAGAAGGAGGAGGTGGAGAAGAAGAATAAAGAACTGCAAGAGGCGCTGAATGAAGTGGTTCCAACTGTGAAACAGCTGGAGCAGGATAGGGCTTCCCTGAGCACCAAGCTCGTCTTTGAGGAAAGCAAACGAAGGATCTCTGAAAGCGAGCGTGAGGCTCAAGCGAAGGAAATAACGCTGATGAAGGATGCTTTCGTGGAGCTGAAGGAGAATGTGCAGATGTTCGTGCACAATGGGATGAAGGAGCACATCAGCAACTTCATCAGCTCCAGCTCGTTTGACAACATCGTTAACTTGTACCGACTGCCAACTACCATCATTGCTTTCACGGACTGCAGAAAGAAGGTGAAGGCTGAATATCCCGAAGTGGATATTACAAAGATCACCTTCGGCGAGCAAGAAGAAGGAGTGGAGGAGAACAGTGAGAGTATGTCAGCAGACTTCCGTCCTCAGTTCAAACTGAGGTGGGAGCATGATGCAGACGGACGTGCTGTTTTCCCTCCAAATTTCGACTTCGAGTTCATTGTAGTGGAGGAAGAAGAGGCAGAGGTAGAGGAAGATGATGTGGAGGCAGGAGTGGAAGGGACTGAAGTGGGTGAGAGCCAATTAGCTCCAGAAGTGGAGATTTATCTAGTTCCTTCTGACGATGAGCAGCCTCCTCTGTCAGACGAGCAGCAGCCAACACAGCCACCTCTTCTAGCTGAGCAGGAGCCAGTCAAGCCACCTCCCCCAGCAGAGAAATAATTTTTGTTTTTTAATTTTTGTAAAAACATTTAAACAATGTTTTGAAGGAAAGTTAATCATTTCAGAGGTGAAATAAAAAGAAGTTAATTACTTTGGGAATGCACTAAGGAAGGGTAAAACACTTCAAACGAATTAAGAACAAAAACGTCATTGCAAATGAATTGAAAGGAAATAAAGCACCTCATATGTGAAGTGACATTTATTAACAGAAGTGAGGTTCAAGGAATGAATGAACTGATTGACCTCGGATACATAGAATAAGAGGTAAAATGAATCTCAACAATCACGAAATAAGTAATGCAAAGAATCAGTAAGACATAGATCACTTAAAAGAATATTATTATGGATAAAATTTCTTTAAGTTATTGATATTCCAGACTCTAGGAACTCTCTTCCCCTCAGCGTCTTGGAGGACATAGGCACCAGGATGTGGCACTTCGGCCACTGTATAAGGGCCTTCCCAGTTTGGGGCCAGTTTGCCAAAACGAGTTTCAAACCCTGTTAGGCCAGCCTTTCTGAGAACGAGGTCTCCTACTTTAAATGTTCAAGGACGGACTCGTTTATTGTAGAAGTTGGCTAGTTTCTGCTTGTATACAAGAATTTGAATCCGTGCTTCTCCTTTGACTTCGGCAAGAAGATCAAGGTTTTCCCGAAGCAGCTGTCCATTTCGTCCTTCATCGAAATGGGTGACCCAGAAGCTTGGGACTCCTATTTCAATAGGAATGACTGCTTCGGTACCAAAGGCCAAATGATAGGGTGTTTCACGTATTTCAGTTAATTATAACTTTAGAATGCGCTTTATGCATTATGCATATTTGCTCTAAGGTAAAGCCGTAACAGAAGAAGTAAAATAATATAATATAAAAATTAATCAAATAGATTAGGTTTGAAGTAATACTTGTGGCAGTTCGGCTCGTGGTTCTGTATGCCGAGAGGACGTTGTTGAGCTCGTCTGCCCATTTGGCCTTATGTTGTTCCAATCTCAGCTTTATACCTTCTAAAATGCATTTGTTAACAGATTCAACCATGCCATTGGACTCTGGATGGTAAACGAAGGTGAACTGCACTTTGATCCCATAACTGGAACAGAAATCTCGGAATAAGGAGCAATTGAATTGAGTTCCATTATCAGCTACAATTTGATTCGGGATCATATATCTGCAGATGATCGAGCTAAAAACAAAGTCTTCGACCTTCTTGGAGGTAAGACTAGATAATGGTCGAGCTTCAACTCACTTTGTGAAGTAATCCACACCAACAATCAAATGGGTTACACCACCAACCCTTTTCACGAATGGGCCTAAAAGATCCAATCCCCACTAAGCAAATGGCCACGGTGCTACCAAGTTCGTGAGCTCTTCTGTTCGTTGGTGAGTCAGATGTGCAAAGAATTGACATTTCGGGCATTTCTGAACAAAGTGAGTGGCATCTTTGTATATGTTTGGCCAGTAATATCACTGCCTTAAGACTTTGTGAGCCAGAGGTCTAGCAGCAACATGGCTTCCGCAGACACCTTCATGTACCTCCCGAAGTGCATACTCAGCTTCGTAGGGGTTTAAACACCGTAGAAGAAGGAGTGAGAAAGATCTCTTATAGAGGACCCCATGAACGAGTGCATACCGAGATGCTTTCTTCCTCAACTTCATTGCCTCCTGCTTGTCCTCAGGTACTATCCCATCTCGTAAAAAGGAGATAATTGAGTCAGTTCAACTCAACGTGTCAGGGTTTGTGCTAATCTCCATCATCCATGGCTTCATGAAGCTTGGTTCGTCTAAGACCTCCACAAAAACTGATCTGGAACTTAAAGAGATATCAGAGGCAAATTTAGAGAGTGAATCTGCCTGTTCATTCTCAATTCAGGGAATTTTGCTCAGACAGAATTTCTGGAATTTGCACTTCATCTCAGCCAGCATGACTACATATTTCACCATCATAGGATCAACGACTTCGCAGATTGAGTTGATTTGGTTCACCACCAGCTGGGAGTCACTGTACACTTGGATCGTGCTGATTTTCAACTCTAATGCTAGCTGTAGACCAAGTAGCAGAGCTTCGTACTCAGCCATGTTGTTTGTTGCATCGAAGTTAAACTTCAGGGCATGTTCACTTCGATATCCGTTTGGGCCAATTAAGAGAGCACCAGCTCCTGAACCCTTGCTACTAGATGCCCCATCAACATACAAGGTCCAGTCATTGGGCTCCGGACTAGGGATTGAATGACATGAAGTGCATTCTATAATAAAGTCTACCAGCGCCTGAGCTCGGATTGCCGATCTCTGCTGAAATGTTATCTCAAATTCCCCCAGTTCTACTACCCATTTAATTAATCTTCCAGAGCACTCTAGCTTCTGCAAAATCTGTCGAAGAGGTTGGTCTGTAAGGACAATGATCGGGTGTGACTGGAAATATGGCCTCAACTTCCTGGCCGAAGTGACAACTGCTAAAGCTGCTTTCCCAGCAATGGGATACCTCAATTCTGCTCCGTGTATCACACTGCTGATATAATAGATTGGTTTCTGCTGCTTGGCTTCTTCTCTTACCAGAACTAAACTAATGGCTTCATCTGAAATTCTCAAATACAAATAGAGAATCTCTCCATCTATAGCCTTAGTTAGTAGAGGTGGCGAGTTAAGATAAGACTTCAGCTCATCAAATACGGCTTGGCATTCCTAGTTCCATTCAAATTTCTTTTGTTTTCCTGATTCATCCTTCTGGGCGACTGACCTCATAATCTTGAAAAATGGCAGGCACTTATCTACTGACTTCGACATGAACCGATGAAGAGCTGCTACCCGTCCAGTCAACCTCTGTATATCTTTCACTGATTTCGACGGTTCCATCTCGGCTATTGCTCTAATCTTCTCTAGATTAATTTCAATCCCTCTTCGGGACACCATGAAACCTAGAAACTTTCCAGACTCCATGCCAAAGATGCATTTGGCTGGGTTTAACCGCATTCTGTTCTTTCTGAGGTTGTTGAAAGTTTCATTGAGATCAACTAGGTGGTCTTTTGCTTTCAGGCTCTTTACCACAATGTCATCGATATAAACTTCCAGATTCTTGCCAATCTGAGCTCGGAAGACAATGGTCATCATCTTCTGATAAGTAGCGCCTACGTTCTTTAAGCCAAATGGCATCATCATGTAGCAATAGATTTCATCACCAGCATAGAAAGAGGTTTTCTCTTCATCTTCTGGAGCCATCGGCACTTGGTGATACCTAGAATATACATCCAAGAGACTTAACCTCTCATTACCTGAAGCCGCTTCAACCAATTTGTCAATGCTCGGCATCGGATAGCAATTCTTGGGGCAGGCTTGGTTAAGATTTGTGTAATCGATGCACATCCGCCATTTACCATTTGCCTTCTTCACCAGGACAGGGTTAGCCACCCATTCACAATAATCAACTTTTCTGACAAAACCAACTTGTAGAAGTTTCTCTACCTCTTCTTTTATAGCCTGAAGCCTCTCCCCCTCGAAGAGACATCACTTCTGGGCCACTGGTTTCTTCAATGGATTGGTACTGAGTTTATGTTGAGACACCGAATTTGGGATTCCTACCATGTCTACCGAAGTCCACGCGAAGACATCATTGTTAGCTCGGAGAAAAGCTATTAGCTCTGCTCTTTCCTCCATGCTCAATCTAGTTCCAATTTGCGTCTTTCGGCTCGAATTTCTATCATCAATGGGCACTTCTTCAACATCTTCGACTGGAACAGCTCTAGTTTCATCTTCTGGTCAGTTATCTATTATTTCAACACCCATAACTTGCTGATTATCCGGAATTCGTTTGGAATTAGCCTCGAGTGTTTGATCTTTGCCTTTCTAAGGTTGTGTGACCGAGGTGATATAGCAATGTCTGGCCACCTCCTGGTTGCCTCGTAGCGTTGCTATTCCCATAGGAGTTGGGAACTTCATGCATAGGTGAGACTGGGAAACCACAGCTCAAATTTCAGTTAGTGTGGGTCGGCCAATGACAACGTTGAAAGAGGACGCCATCTTGACTACTAGAAACCTAACTGAAGGGGTCACATAATTTCGGCCACTTCCAAATGCAACATTCATGGTTAGGACTCATTCAACTGGAACTGGTTGGTTATTGTATCCATAGATGGGACCATCATACCGCTGCAACAAAGCTGGATCCAAGCCAAGACTCTCAAAGCAATGGAAGTACATGATGTCTGGTGCACTCCCTATGTCAACAAGGACACGCTGCACCTCACAATTGTTAATCAAGACAGAAGTGACTAGAGGGTCATTGTGAGGTGTGAAGACTGCATCGAGATCAGCAGATGTGAAAGTAATGGGTTGATTCTTCCACGCAGCATCGTCAAACTTCCGTTTCTAAGCTCGGTTCTGATGCTTAACCTCTCTGACATACAACTTCTGCTGTTTAGAGATCAGCCCACCCCTTTGCAGGCCTCCCGTGATCATGTGTATGATTCTAGCTGGTAGTGGGAGCGGAGGCGGGGTTCGTTGATATCCCAAACCTTACCGGTTTGGTGGGTTACGAACTCCTTGAGGCTATGGCCCTTGTTCTCTAACAAACCTTGGCTGTTCAGCTCTCTGAATGTACTCATTCAACAGTCCTTTCTGGGCAAGACTTTCCAGCTTGGTCCTCAAGTTGTTGCATTGCTTTGTTGTATTACCATGATCTTGATGAAAATCACAATATCTAGTATGATCTCAGCTAGCAGCAGCAGTTCTCATTGGGCCAAGACGCCTTAAATTCATTTTATTCTTGATCTGCATGAAGATTTGTGACATCGGCAAATTAAAAGGAGTCCAATTAACTGGAGGCTTACCTTCAGACTGTTGTGGGGGTGTAAAGTTCGACCTTTCGAATCTCTGTGCGGAGGTCGACATTGGACCCCGGTTCTATGCTATCCTCATCCATTTCCTGCTTGGATTCTCATCTCTCCAGTTTGGGTTTTGGTTCTTAGAAGGGGCTGGTTTCTGCGATAAGGCATATTCCTCTGCAGTTATTAATTTCAATGATCTATCATTTACCTCGCTAAAGGTGGTGGCATGATGTTTGAGCAAACTATCTCTGAATCTCTCATGGCTAAGACTTGAGATCACAGCTGTAATTCCCACAGCCTAGTCGAAAGAGCTAACCTCCAGTACTGCATCATTGAATCTGCTCATAAAATTCTTCAAAGACTCTCTGTCCCTTTACCTAACTCGCATCAGCTCCGAAGTGGTTTTCCTGATCAACCTTCTATTGGAAAACTTTGTGGTGAAAGCAGATGTCATTTCTGTATAAGAGTTGATTGACCTCGGGGGTAGAATGTAATACCAGGTTCAAGCATTACCTCGGAGAGTAGAGGGAAAGATTTTGCACATCAACGCATCAGAGGCGTTCTGGGCTTGCATGCAAGAGTAGAAAGCATGCAGGTGATCATCGGGATCCTTTGTCCCATCATAAGTCTCAAGTTGAGGTATTCTAAAGCCAGTAGGGTAGGGTTCTAATGTGATGTTGGTGTTTAGAGGGTGAGGTATGGAGTCCGCGGCATGACATGGAGGTGGGGCACCCCTCTGCTCAACTACTAGCTTTTCTAGGTTGTCTAGACGTCGAGTGACATCATCAGGGAGGGGTTGCTGAGCTGGTGCGATATGAGATTGGCCCTGAGATTCACTAAGAGCAGGAACATGCTGAACTGATTTAGGGTTTTATTGTGGGGCTGGGGGTTGTGGAGCAGGATTAAGTAGGTTGATGAGTGGATCACCAGGATTGTTCCGGGCTAATAGCTGAGCCAGCACTAGCTGAAAGACACCAAACTGTTGTTGCATGGCAGCAAGCTGAGTTGCAACTACGTCTTGGTTAGCAGTAGAGGCTGAGTTGTGAGCCAAATTGTGTGGTTGGTTTTCATCTCCTCCTTCTGCATGGTCAACATGAGGGAATGTATTTGGGATTGGAGGTGGGAGGTGAGGTGGAAGGTTGCTGGGGACCTGGCCTCGTCCAAGAGACTGAGATGAGTTTCCAACTCGGACTGACCTAGTATTAACCATGATAAGAACAACAAGGGAGCCTTCAGTTCGGATTCCCACAGACGGTGCCAATGTAATTGCACCAAACCAGAAGTCTTTCTTCAGTCCGTATCTGCACTCCGGATTGACCTGCAAAGCCCCGAGGTGGGTCTTCGGGGTAGACACTCCAATGCTTAAGTCAGCAATAATCGGGACTACCTTTAGAGTGGAGATAAAAGGAGCTTAGGGTTGGTTTCAATTACCTTTTGACGTGGCCCGTGGGGGGTATTTATAGGATCCAATGAGGAACCCACGTGGCATGCCAAGCAAGATAATCGGAGCCTGACGTGTCTATCTAGACGATTATTCCGGGACCGGGATTTTGAGAGGTATTCAGATGAAAGGATGTTTGCCATAACTGCTGTGCAGCTCATCATTAGGAATCAGGTGTGGGCATGCTTATTGTCACTGTCATGCAACTATTTGAGCGGGAAGCTTTGGATTTATCCTTCACTTCGGTCATAAAGGAATTACTGTAACAGTCCGAGGCTTGGCACCTCGGACCTATCCTTACACCTCTTAAGGTTTGTGCCTTCTAGCGAGCCTAGGTAAAGAATACAATTTGACAAAAATCTCCAATGTAGTAGCAGACAGTTGATGAAAACAAGAAAATTATTGAGTTTGGTGGTGAACATTAGTTTGATAGTAAAATAACAAACCAAACCAATTATATTAATTTTAAAATTTTATAATTCAAATTAACTCAATTTTATATTGGATTAGTTTGATTTTTTATTAAATTAGATCAATTTCAATCATATTAATTGAATTGGATCAAATATGAACACTCTAATTGACTATTTTTGTTTTCTTAAACCATAATATTATATATAGCAACTAATTTTATGATATAACATAAACTACATTATTGATTCTAAATTTTCATTATAAGTTTTTTATCATTTC